TTGTATGAGAATGCCTTTATATTTATGTGTATTAAATGACTATACATTCGCATACGTGAACGGGCAAATATGTACTTAAATGCAGACATAAATTTTCAATTTTTTTATCTAAGCACTAGCAAAGTTCATATCGAGTTCACAAGGTGTTATCACGAACCTTATTCACATCAACGGGTCTCGTGGGCTGCTCAGGCGATGCTGTAACGTCATCTTTATGTACATGCACTGTACTTGTCCTGTCCTCAGCCATCGGGTTTCTTGCGAAGTTCTGTAACGAATATGGTATGCTTTTGTTATATGTTGCCTTTAGTGTGATCTGACATCGTTCATAGGTGCACATACTTTAATAGGCATCATGTGTAACCTCAAAACTGTAGGGTACATACACTGCACAGAGTGTACACTGTAAACTGTACAGGAATTAAAAAAATTGTTACTCAGCGTAATTATTCTTTGATTGGAATATCAATTCAGATAGAAACTCTGATTGGTAGAACAGTTCCTTTCAGATTAGCAGATCTACTCTGATTGGGTAAGGTAAATTAAACATGTAGACTGGGCTTGTACATTGTCATGTAAATATATGTAGTTGTACGCGCCATGAACACTATACATACTCATATGTAGTACATATGTGCGTGTGCACATAACACTCCATATGTACAATTGTACCTATACAACATCCATTCATCTCTCTGATTATTGATTCAGCAGCATCGCAAGGCAGCAACATGAATCGGGAAACATCCAGCATTACTTTGCTAAGTTTTGCCACTTTGAACCCCAAGCCCAGACAATATCAGAGGGGCAAAGGTATATTTTCGTTAACAAAATTCTTCATACAGACAGAGATACAGTTATGGCATTACCACTTTTTCTATATTTAAATCTATACGGGTTTGCTTCGAACATCGATGAATATATTATAGTATACACAGCGCAATCATGTTTGGCGAGTGGCCTATATTTATTTTTCCTCCCGCAAAGGCCGGTTGGTAGACTCGTGCCAGACATGTTGGGCTATTCCATAGGTCCATAGGTTAACTAACATCTTGGAACAAGCGAAGCGATATTATTTCTTCCATGCTAACCATACGCGGGCATCGTACATGTATACACGCACGAGCATAGGTGCATGTTGCCGTGGATGTGTATGCGTGTACTTCAGCATATAATCATTAATTACTCGATGTTTTGACTAAATATTCTTAAGCAATTGTTCTCGGCGTTCAGCTTGTCCTCTCCCTGTCCACCGGAGGCGACTCAAGTGCACATCAACCCCCACTAAATTAATACAGATATTTTGATAAGGGGGTTGCAGTATGAGAACCCCAAGTGTGCCATACAACCATATATATATATACAATATGTTTAGAGAATAGTGCAGCAGCTTCCCTGCTTCTTCTCTTTGGGGGCAGCCGCCTTTTTAGCCGCAGCGGATTTGGCCTCTGCAGCCTTGGGCGCGGACTTGGCCTCCTCCGCCTTTGCCTCTACCTTAGGCTCTTCGTTCTTGGCTTCAACCTTAGGCTCTTTGCTCTTGGCTTCAACTTTGGGTGTCTCTTCAACTTTAACGGCCTCAACCTTGGGTGCAGTTACTGCCTTGGGTTCTTCTGCCTTTGAGGTTTCTTCAACCTTTGGAATCTCTGCGATTTTGATATCCTCGGGTACGGTTTCAACTGGGGCGGTCTGTTGATTGCAGTGTAGTTGATGTTTGGATAAATCAGTACACTTGTGTGATCATTCGATAAGAAAAACTTGAGAAGTGTACATCTAACTTAGCCATTATTTGTGGAATGATGTGAATGTATCACGGGCAACCACATGATCGCTACACCTAAAAAAAACACAAATGAATAACGCCTTGAAAGCGGGTTGTGCAATAAGCTAGTGTTGAGATTACTGACTGGTAGCTATGATCTCATCCTAGTTTATAATACAACACAAAATATCACATGAAAGACACACTACAGATCAGTACTCTCTGAGTCCAAGTATTCGATGTTTTGGGTCACCGAGCGCCGGCATTAATTATCACTCTCAAAAACGTACACATGGTTAGCAGTGAGAAAGTGAGCGTTTGGTTACATACCTCAGGAACAACAGCAGGGGCAAGGGTTCGCAGTAAATTACCCTCAACAGCAACTCTGTTTTCGCTAGTGATGAAGTTGGCCTCGTTCTCGGCACCAATCCACTCCTCACCCAGCTTTAGCTTGAACTCGACTGTGTCGGCACTAAACACGTGGCAAAAGAGTATATGATGGGTCTTTTCATTTGCCGGCAGAGTGCGCGTACATATACAGATACTCACTACAACACTAGCAATGTCGAGTTCAAAGAAAACATACTACTTATTTCGCTGCTAGCTTAGGACCACGTGCATAGGGTATCTATGTGGCTTGAAATGTATCTGATGGCTGAAATCGGTACCAACTTTGACAAACAAACATGCGCAAAAATCACCGATTGAAATGTTGTATGCTGAATAAATGTCGCTAAAGTAAATGCTGATATCCGCTGTAGATTGGCACATAGACAAAAATAGTGTGAATAGCGATACTATCTCTAGCTCGCCAACATAAGACGAATCGAGTTTCTACACACACAAATAGAATGTTCAAAAAAAGGATATGCTTACCCATCACAATATTCAACATTATCTTTTTAAATGAAAACTATTTACTGTTGCAGCTTGACCATTCCAATTGAACATACTGCCGTATAGGCACAAATTCATATTAGGGTAGTTGGCCATCTATACAATACTGTAAGTACAGCATCTTCTCGGATTAAGCATGTATAAAAGATATGTTCTATGATCTATAAAATATATATATATAGTTGATCACAACATAAACGCGTAATGACTTTGAACTGAAGTGGTCAAAGCATATGTTGGGTATGTCCGAAACTAGAACAATTCGTTACAAAATTATCAATGTGTGTTAAACCATAGGCACGTAAACATGCACACTGAGCACTAAAACGGGATCACCACAGACTCTTTTTACGTTATTCCCTCTCTAGTAACTATAATGTCTCCTTCTCGTACGCGTGTGTATTGACAAATGAAGTAAATTAGTCACTTACCCAATAGTGTGGATGTACCAATCTCCATCCTCGGATTCTGGCAGAGGCTTCTCAGTTGACAACATAGGGGTTCCAGTCCAGTTCTCGAAGTCACCAGCAATATTGGGGACAACACCAGCCTTGTCCGAGGCGATTTTGTAGAAAATAGTAACTGTACATAGAAAGAGTGACAAAACATGCATACGGATAAGGCATTGTCTAAATTATTTTGCATTTGAAATGATGCTAGCGTATACTTGCCAAATACAAAATGAATCGCAAACAATAACACGATATAAAGGCTCAGGACGGCTACAATACAGTGGCTGCTGACAAGCGCAGTCAATCACAAACACATACCAGGCATGATGTTAGTAGGTGTGTTGGTCTTTGCTAAATTACGCTTCTGATATGGATGTTGTGCAGTAGTCCTAATTTAAGATAAAAATATATCGGCGCTCGGCTATATACTCGGAAGTATAAATATCGTTTTTTGAGCGATGATGACATAAAATATTGCGAATCTTTTTCCGAAATTCGCAACACCGGTAAAAGTACGGGTAGTACCGTAGTCCGTACTGAAATTAGATACTGATACAGGCCAATTTCGGGTCTCGGCCTCTCAGGGCTATATGTACCGTGCAGGTAGTCTGATATCTTACAAATCACAGGGGCCACAAGAGTCCTCCAGTCCACCTGTTTAGGTCTCCAGGACTAGGCCTCGAAAGGCTTCAATTGACTCATTGAGGTCAAAGTCCAGCCCGTTCAGCGTCAGATCGCAGAGACGCAGACCGTCAGCCTCGTCAGGCGTCAGTACTCATCAGTACTCAAACAGTACTGCTCTCGCTCAGCCCACCTTTCGGCTTTCTCTAATACCGGCACTTTAAACCAATCAAATTGTTCGGTGCACCACCTGATTGTCCCCATGGGGGGGGGGGGTTTTAAAATAAGTCATAAAAGTGTTCTCTCCCAGTTATATTTTTTTTTATAATAATAAAAACAAATCCAAAATGACGCTTGTGGATGTGTAGGGGGCAGCACAGCGCGCACTCATACAGGGCTCACTTCGTTAGGCCTACATATTTACAGGCTGCAGCGCAACACACACCAGTGACACCACTGAAAAGACCCTGTTCTGCAACTCAATATAATGGCCAATATTGTTATAAAACTATTTACTAATGATGGCAGCCAGAGCCACGTGTGCGATGAAAGAATGTGAATAAAATAGAGAATAGAGTTATTTTAAATTCTCCATTCATAGACAATCCTATGATTGTGGTTGCTAAGGAGACACGTGGCAAGTTCTGGAAGTCGAAGCACGAACAAAATAAACCCCCTCGGACGCGTCATAACTGAAAACTCATATTTAGCTTGTATGACCTCTTTTTTAAAAACGACACAATCGGCGATTGACAGCAATGTGATTTTTTTATTCATTCTCAGTTTATTGCACATGTGACGTTTCGTTTTTCCTGTTTTATTTTTTATACTATATGTCAACTGCTACTAAAGCGTGCCAGCCTCGTAATTGTCAGCTGATATTTTTACCCGGATTTTGGTCCAGGGCAATGGAATGTGGTAACCCACAGCTATTGATGCAGATCTAAATACACTGATGTGCTGAATTTCGTGGTTTTGCCTAATATCCTCATAGGTATTAGTGCACATACACGTGTGCACAGGAATGTGTTGATTTGTATTTTTATCATGTTGCTAGCAAACCTCCACTCCCTGTCACTCATAGAGTTGTTATATTGCCCAAGTTATGATCCAGGGCAATGTATTGTGGATGAGCCCACAGCTATCTATACAGATCTAAATACGTTGGATGTGTTGAATTTCGTGGTTTGCCTACCATCCATTTAGGTATTGGTGCACATACACGAATACACAGGAGTGTACTGAATTGTATAATCTCCCGTTGCTAGCGAACCCCCACTCCCAGACACCCCTAAAGCTTTTGACATATAGTATCTGACTTTCATTTCTTCCGTTCTCTTGTGGAAGCTCGCGTGCTTACATAGGAGCTTGTCCTCTCTCTTCGTCCGCATTTCAGATGTCTGATGTCTCTCTGGCCATTCCGACTGTATCGTAGATCAAATAGCAAACTCATCTTCAGAATTTGCAACTTTACGTTCCTCAGATGCTTACCCTCTAGTGCTACCTGAAAAATCTCCGAACCCTGGGTCGAATTCGGGGTGAATTTGGGGTATTAAGATATACAGTCTCCACCTTGTAGCCCTCCATCCGTTCCTTATCCAGCATCAGCGAGTGTCCCACATACTGTCTGACACTCACCGATTTCCCCGATCGTGCGATCATAGCTTCTACACCCTCCAAGAACAGATACCACACAGTCTCTCCCACAAACATGAAATTCAAGTATCGATGCTTCGGCAAATAGGAGTTAACGAGCTGCTCGACAACGTCGTCGCTGTCTCCAAGACATGACACTTCTTCCACGGCGAACACTACATGTCCCGTTCGCACGCCCCTGTGGTACGCCGCACTAGTTGACATGATCTCTTCCACTTTCCTTCCCTTTAGTTTCAATCCCTCTAATTGGCCGTCGCTGACATGTAACATAACCTTCATGAACAACGGCTGACCCACGAACTCGACCGTTACTGTTGTTGCATCGTCGAGCACGTGTCTTACATCGTCTATCTGTGATGCCGCATGCCTATTTATGGACACAATCCTGTCACCAAAGGACAATCCCATCCTATACGCTCCTGTTTTCTCACTAGTAACTCCCCGAGATATATCGACCTCATATACTCGTATAACGTAGTACTCCTTATCGATGCGTAGCAAATCTGCACCGAACTTCGCTGACTTATTTTTGGTTATTGTCACCTGTGTCGAGGGGGTTGGCCACAAGTGAGGGTATATGAGACCGGCACGAAGGTTGCACGGAGCTAATTTGTGACTGAACATTAGTAGGGGTGATTTTAGTGTGAGCGTGACATTGCCGATGCAAGTGCCCTAGTCATCAACAAATTCGGTCCTGGACAATCAAGGGTCTTGAGCATTCGATTTGCATCCCGTTGCACTCGCACAAGTTTGAACAAACTCTTAATCCATAACATCTCGCTAAAATTGTGCACAAATGAAATATATACAGAAATGTATATATATAAATACTATTTATAT